AAGGCCACCTAATCCAATCCCTTATTTTACAGATGAGGAAACTGAGGCTCAAGGAGGCTCAGTAATTTGCCCGTGGTCTCACAAAGGAATAGGCATCAGAAATAGGATTTGAACTCAAGCCCTCAGACCCCAGTCTCAGTTCTTTCCAAGTCATTGCTTCTACCTGTTCTTTTATTTTTGCTACATACTAAATTGCCTAAAATCCATCCCTTTCTTCTCATTTTTTCCACTATCCCTTCAATCCTTTCCTTAGAATATCAGGCTCTTTCATTTTTAAACTACATACACAAGTATTCAAGGAAACCACTGTAACATATTTCCCTTTAGAATTGCTTCTTCATTCTCTGTCCTTGACCTCTTCCACTGTGAGGCTAATTCCATTCCTGACTGCTTAGCCATCATAAAAGAGGCCATTTATGTGGAAATAGCTCTCTGCCCTTTTCTCAGCTGCCTATGGAAGGAGGCAAGGATTTAGGTACCATTCAGTCCTCCTGCTTTGGACCAGGAAGCCATTCTCAACACCTCTTTGCCACATCACACTGGTTAAAATGCATTGGGGAGCATCTAACCCCATTCCAAAGGCTTTTATAAGATTCCTTCATCCAGTAACATTTTGCAGGTTGAAGGGATGGAAAACAGAGTCCGAAAGGCTCTGGGATGAGGCAAAGATATATATGGTCAGGAGGTGAGAAGTAGCTTGTTTAATTCAAGGTCAGAAGTTTAGAAATACCATTTGGATAAATCAGTAAAAATCAGGTAAAAGACCTTCTTTCTTGTTACACTCCTTCCCACAATCTGACCATTTGCACTCTCCCACCCATCTTTCTGCCTTCCACCCAAAATGCAACATTTCTTTATTAGATAAATGAACCATTGGAGTGTGTCTGATACTGTTACTGAGGCCAAAAGAGCAGAGCAGGAATTATTCAATTACCATAAGCCAGGGTTCAGCTGTAGAAAAGGGAAAGATGAGAAAAATGTGAATCCAATTGGGGAGCTGGAGAGCCCCAGCCTGTCATTTGATCCAAAGGACAGACAAAGCGCAATTAGGGTATGGTCTATGCCTGTTTGATTCAGGCTAAGAAAAACTATTGTTGACTTGTTGCAGCCTGCAAGAATTGTTTGGCATCATAATTGTTTAATCAACCTTCGCCAGAGGACGCTAAGAGATTTCATAAATTTGATCCACTCTGTGGTCCAAGGTCTCAGCCCCCTCCCCAGACCATAGGCCTGGACTTCTTAGTGTTTTTCTTCCCAGCCTACCTCAGCTTCATCTGGCAAAAAAAAAAAAAATGACAGGATGAATAGAGATGACCCCTGTCTATACTGCCCAGGGTCCTGAAGGCCTTTCTTATGATCCCTTAATTATCTTACCAAAACATTAGTGGATAAATTTTTAATTTCTTGTTTGCTTTGAAAAGGAAATTTGGGCATGACTGAAGCTAGTTCTTAGTAGTGCTTTTTTTTTCTTTCATAGTATCTGTTAAACTTTTATAGGGTGTGGCCTGATGCTACACAAATGTTGCTTGAAAATTGACACTCGTTCTCTGTGCAGCATATCCACTGACTTTGGACTTGGAATCAGAGGACTCCTAACTCTGTCACTCATTACCTTGTGTAATATTGCACAAGTCATTTAACCTTTCTAGGTCTCAGTTTCCTTATCCGCAAATGAGGTAGTTAAATTAGATGACCCCTAATTAAATGTTTCTTCCAGGAGTAGTTAGGTGGTCCAGTAGATAAAGCACTGGGCTTGGAATCAGGAAGATTCATCTTCATGAGTTCAAATCTGGTCTTAGACACTTACTAACTGTGTGAACCTGGGCAAGTCACTTACCCCTGTTTGCCTCAGTTTTCTCATCTGTAAAATGAGCTGGAGAAGGAAATAGCAAACCACTGCAGTATCTTTGCCAAGGGAACCCCAAATGGGGTCACAAAGAGCTGGACATGACTTAACAACAACAAGGTTCCTTTTAGTTCTAAACCCATGATCCTTTGAGCTGTTTTAAAATAAACAAATCTCCTAATCATGTGGATTCACTTTCAACTGAAAGCGAAATTTTGTTTGGTTAGTCATAGTCAGTGTTCTGTATTTAGACTCTTTGAAGAATAAAGCATTTGTTGGGAGTTGGGGAGGATGTGTCTTGATAGCATGGATTGCAGCTTTTATCTCAGTAAAGTAGGAAGAAGAGTATATTATCCCAATTTTACAAATGAAGAAACTGAGGTATAGGTGGAAAAGACTCCACTGTTCATCTAATTCAAGTCACTTATTTTTCAGATAGGGAAGCTGAACTTAAAATGATGTGCTCAGTATCCCAGGTTCCTTGAATCCTGGTCTGAAACTTTTTCACCGTGCTGAAAAGCTGTTTTTTTTCTCCAAATCACAAAACTTCTTAGTGACATATTTACTTGTCTCCATGTACTCTGTGATCCAGTGACACTGGCCTTCTTGCTTGCACACAGCACTCCATCTCCCAGCTTTGGGCACCTTCACTGACTGTCCCCCCCCATGACTTGAATGTTTTCCCTCCTTATCTCTGCCTCTTGGCTTTCCAGGCTTCCTTCAAGTGCCAGCTAAAGTCCTTTGTTCTGAAAGAAGCCTTTCTCAATCTTAGTGCCTTCCCTCTGAGACTACTCCATATATACATATATACATATATATAGATATAGATATAGATATATACACACACACACATATATACACACATGTATGTATGCATATATATCTATACATATATATGCATATATACATATATGTGCTTATTTATATGCATGTATATATACATATGTAACATATATATTTTGTGTGTATATCTTATATATAATTACACATACATTATATTTGTACATAGTTGTTTGTAAACTGTCTCTCCAGTTAGATTATGAGTTCTTTGAAAGCAGGGACTATTTTTTGGCTCTTCTTTGTATCCCTAGCACTCATCACAGTGGCTGGCACATAGTAGACACTTAATAAATGTTAGTTGACCTGACTCAGGTTGACTTGGCATAGTTGAGGTGACAGTTCAGGTTTCCTGAGTCTTTATTGCTCAAGACAGTAAATCTGTAACCCATCAGTGGGGGGGGGGGGGTTGGAGTTGGAAACTCAGCTAGTGATAAACTCACTTTTTTCCAAAGAGACCCCTAAAAAGGCTCAGTCATAAGCAGTAGACAAACCCTTTCCTCTTCTTCCACTCCCAAAATGGCTATCCAACAAAGTTTTCCCTCTCCCCCTCCAAAAGGACAGAAGTAGTATCCTCAACATCAAATAAATAGGTAATACAATGGATAGAGCGAAGGGTTGGGAGTCAGGAATGCCTGAGTAAAATCTTGCCTCCAAGATTTGCTTGCCCACTTGCTATGTGGTCAAGTCACTTTGAAGTTGTATTCAATGGCCTCTAAAGTTCTCACCAGCTCTAAATCTATGACCTTATGGAAATAGAGGACAAGGAGAAAAAGAAATGAATGAAATCTACCATCTTCATTTGAGCTTTTAGCTCCAATTTTCCTCTTCACTCAACCTTTAGTCAAATTGTTATTGTGATTCAGTGTCTTTTTACTATAGATAGCTTGACTTTTTAGCATGACCAGACTGCATCCTTTATCTCAGCCAGACATTTTTAAAATATCTTTCCTTGGGCACAATGAGAAATGGCCAAGGGAGTGTGGATGGATCAACCAAATCTACCATTACAACCAGATGGACCAGTTGCGTTATCTTATGCTACATTTTGGCTATGGCATCATTGGGGGGAGGGAGGAAAGGAAGTCTATTTGATTCCTTATCTTATCTTCTTATTCCCATTTCTGGTAGAAAACCAATAAAAACACTAAAAGTCAAGGATAAAAAAGTAATGGGGAAAAAAAGTTAAAATGAAATCGAGAAACAATAAGGGCTGACAATAGGGCCATTAGTGTCAGATTGAAAGAATCTTTCCAAAAGAACTTGGTAGAGCTCAGCTAGGGCAAGCCTCCATGATGAATCCCTCACTCCTACAAAGCTTCCCAGGGGAAGGATAGCTAGTTGGAACATTTAAGAAAATCCCTTAGCTAATAGTGTGTGGGTAAAGGGGCAAAGGTCAGGAATCTATGAAGAAACTATGGTCTCAAAAACAGGCCCTGGAGACTTGTATTAAGTCTACAAAAATCTTTCAAAAGGTCTTTTTCATTGGATTTTGAAAGGGGTCTACTTTAATAAATTACTCTGTTTGGGAGTTCTATAAAATTCAAATCTGGGTCTGGATTTAATAGATGTCAAAGTAGGAAAACATATCCCTTCCCTTGACATTCTGAGCAAGTTTGATTCTCTCACTCTTTTTTAAATCCCCACATTTAGAGGGAAAGTCCTTTGAAACTCATTTTGGTTGCAGTTATTAGCTCAAAAGCGCATATATCATCTCCTTGATAGAGCACTGTTTCATGCTATGCAATGTTTCATAACATTAAGGTTCGTTATTTAAAGAGCATGTATATTTTGCTTCTTAGCAGGCTGTATGACATTTTTCATATACTAGCAGACAGTTTAATTTCCTGTCTAACCTGAGTGATGGGCTGGGGCCTGAGAGACTTTATGGTACTTAGCAGAACAGCAGAATATTATAGCATTTGCCATTTTTCAGTTGTGACATGGACCTGCCAAATAAGCCAGCTTGCTGCTCCTTTGCCTACTCCTCTTAAAGTATTTTGTATAGTTTGTATTTGTGCTAAAAGCTGCTATTATTCAAAATGTTCTGACATCACCTCCCCAAGCATGCCTGCCTTCATGCCTACTAGACAGGTGAACTGAGCAGACTTTTTTCTCTGAGGTTTCCTGTGTGTAATTAGTGTCCAAAACAGGGGTTCTTAACCTTCAGTCCCTGGACCACTAAGGGCTCCAAGAATAGATTTCAGGGTGGGGTCTGTGAATTTGGATGGGAAAAAAAAATTTACCTTTGTTTTCATTAACCTCTAACTGAAATTTAGCATTTTTTTCAATCATTTAGCAACATTTAAAAATATATATATATATGGAATGCTTCATGAATTTACATGTCCTTGCACAGGGGCCATGTTAATCTTCTCTTTGTTGTTCCAATTCTAGTACATGTGCTGGTGAACTGAGCACTATCTTAAAAACATTTTTATGAGAAGGGGTACATAGACTTCACCTGCCAAAATGGTCTATGGCACAAAAAAGGTGAAGAAACCTGGGTCCCAAAGTAATTATCTGAAAGTTGCTATATCTCCTTCACTAGCCCCCATGAAGATTTCTATACTGCTTTTAAAATGATGTCTTCAGAGTGATTAGGAAAGGGGAAGAGGACTATATTTCCATATTTTCACTAAGATGTTTAAATATTTGGTATTAAAAGAAACTTCTCCATTCCAGAATCTTGTTTCTTTGGGAAGTATTTGTTGCAAGGGACAATCAATCAATCAATAAACATTTATTAAATGCCTACTATGTGCCAGGCACTGTGCTAAGTATTGGAAGATGGCTGACCTGAATAGAACCAAGACTATTTTTCCTATACTGGGCTAGAGGGAAAAGGAAGGAAGGAAGGAAGGAAGGAAGCAAGGAAGGAAGGAAGCAAGGAAGGGAGAAGGAAAAAAAGGGAAATGGGGAAGGAAAGAAAGGAACACAGAGAGGGAGAGAGGAAATAGGCATTTATTAAACACTTTCTGCGTATCAAACACTGTGCTAAGCACTTTACAAATATCTCATTTTATTATCACAACAACCCTAGGAGGCAGGTGCTATGATGATGCTCACTTTGCAGTTGAGAAAACTGAGGCAAACAAAGGTTGTGTCCCAGAGTCAAATGGCCAATAAATGTCTGAGCCCAATTTGAACTCAGATCTTCCTGATTCTAAGCTCAGTGTTCCATCCACTGTGCCACCTAACTGCCCCAACATAGATAGATTAGATGTGGAGGTAGAGTTATTTTCTATATTTATGCGGAGATAGTCATATAATATATATATATGGAGAGAGAGAGAGAGAGAGAGAGAGAGAGAGAGAGAGAGAGAGAGAG